TTATTATTATTATTATTTATTTTTTCACCGAGTATACTTTGCAGCGATGTTTGTTGCAGCAAAGTTCCACTGTACGAATGTTTTTTATGCATGGTAGTTGCCCAACAATACATTGCAAATGTTTAATTTCCATAAAAAATTCACATTTTTTTAGAAGTGGTATACAAATTATTTATTGACAAACGATTACGGAAGGTAAACATGAAAAATAGAAAGATGCAAATGATAAGAAATATTGATTCTTCCCTATTGTTTAAAATTATACGCTACTCTATGCTACACTACGCTATATTTTTTTTTCAAATCAAATCACTTTTATTCAATCAAACAAAACAAAAAGCATGAATGATTCGGAGACCAAAAAAAGAAAATTAATTCTTGTGGGCTCGGCCACCGTGCAGCTCAAAATAGCTTCTCAATGATAAAATAAAATTGTCAATAGGAGAAAATGTATCAATGTTAATGAAATATGTACACACTTATAAACATATATATACATATAAATTATTATTCTTTAAAAACAGAACTTTTTGTAATTAAAAAATTTTTCAGTTTATTTTTAAAAAGATGCAAAGTGTTACAATCTTTAATTTCTTGTGGAATCGTCTCCCATATTCCTGGGCCGGTGTGTTTCAAACTCATGCAGAGTACTTTAATTCTGGCTGGTGGAGCATAGAAAAGTGGCGTGTGGCGTGTAGTTCTTGCTTGAATAGAAGTTCCAAAAGTGAAAAAGTCTCTAAAAAATGCCGGCAATTGCTGACGTAGAAATCTAAAAATGAATGTTGCAACGTGGTAGATGAACAAGTTTTTGATGTTGAGTATTTTCATCTCGAGATAATGTTCACTTGTGTGACAATGAAGATGAAGATTTTTAAATATTCTGATGAATCGGTTTTGGCATTTTGTTAACTGTTTCAGATGAATGTCAGGACTGTTTCCCCAAATTACGTTGCAGTAGATGAGGTGAGGAAAGATTAACGAATAATACAGGTCAATTAGAGTAGGTTTATTTAATTTATTTTTGATTTTGCTTATAACTCCTAGGGTTTTGCATATTCTTTTAGACATAGTATCTATGTGAATATCCCAAGAAAAATTGTCCTTGATTGTTACTCCAAGGAATTTTGTGCTGGTTGAGCGAGGAATAGAAATATTGTTCATTTTTATGTTTAGGTTAGGTATAATATTTGTTAAAATTTTCGGACCAAAAATAATATAATTACATTTAGAATAATTTACTATTAATTTATTTTTGATAAACCAGGTTGATATATTTTGAAGACTGTTATTGATGTATTCTACTTCTTTCAATGGGTCTTTAGTTGGGAAGAAGATGTTAGTGTCATCTGCATATAGAAGGTGATTTGCATCAATTGCATGTTGAAAATCGTTCATGAAGATTATGAATAGAAGAGGACCTAAAATTGATCCTTGTGGCACGCCTGATCTTACGTTAAGTTTTGTTGAGGAGTGACTTTTTATTGCCACATACTGGTCTCTGTTCTCTAAATAACTTTTGAACCATGCACTTACTTTTCCTCTTATTCCATGTGAATTTAATTTTTTAATCAGTATATCGTGGTTGATGACGTCAAAGGCCTTTGAGAGGTCTATGAATACACCTACAGTTAGTATCTTTTCGTTAAGATTATTCATAACATTTTGTGCTAATTGCAGCACAGCTTGCTCAGTTGAATGCTGTGCTCTGTAGCCATATTGATTATCATTTAATAATTTATTTATGGACAGAAATGAGGTGACTCTGACAAAAATTATTTTTTCTAGTACTTTGGAAAGTGGAGAAAGTAGAGATATTGGTCGATAATTACTTGTCTCTAATTTGCTCCCCTTTTTGTGAATTGGAACTGCTCTGGATGTTTTGAAGCATTGTGGAAATATTCCTTGGACGATGGAAAGATTGTAAATATGAGTGATTGGGATGACAATTTCTGGGATGATGTTTTGAACAATGTACATTACTTCTTCTTTATTGGTGGAGTTCATATACATTGATTTACAGATTGCACTATTTATTTTTAATTTATCTTCAGTAACTATTTGATTTTCTAACAGCTTCTCTGTGACATTGATGAAGTATTCATTGAAAAGAATACTTATTTCCTCTGGCTCTTCGATGATTTTGTCGTCAACTTTTAGCTTATTAATTTCATGAATGTTTTGTTTTCTATTCATTATACCGTTTATTATTTCCCATTTTTGTTTGGAGCAACTCTGCCTCTTCAAATTTCTGTTGAAAATAATTTTTTCTGCCTTTCTCTTTACTGATGTAAAGTAATTTCTAAACAAAATGAAAATAGTAAATTTTGGAAGTCTTTAGAATCATTTGAATCATTGTCCAATAAATTAACATTAAAGTCGCCCACTATAACAGTTTTGTCGGCGGGTTTGATGGCGTGTAAAATCAAATTGATTTTATTTAAAAAAGGCTCAAATTTATAATTGGGTGGGCGGTATATCGCGATAACTTTTAGCACACCCCTAGATGAAGCATGCCCCGATTCAATGTCCACACAGATAACGTCGACATTTTCATCATCAAATGCACTGTTATCATTTACAACATATTTGATGTCATGCTTTATGAACACACCAACACCTCCGCCTCGTTGCTT